ACAGCCCAAGCATATCTATATACATATAGAATGCTGCACCAAACAAATTCGTAAGAGGAAACATGTAAACAATAAACCAACTCCATAGCTGATTCTAAGTGATCAAGAATTTCTTTTGAAATTCTGCATTGTGTATTTAAATTTTTCTGGTTATTGAATGAAGGCATAACATATTAAATTAATGTATCTTTTAATTAATGAAAATTAAACAAATTGTATTTTTTGGCAAACAAAGGGGATTTACAATTAAAATTAAAACATGGAAGAAATATTGTGATTATTCCTTAATAATTTTAGTAGTAGTAGTTGTACGTACATTCTGCTGAACAATAGTAATACATTTCTGGCAGAAGATTAGGGGATTTTTTTTCATTATTGATCGTACATTGTACAGAGGTCAAAATTATCGTACAAATACGATACTTATCGTACGTCTGGCAACACTGGGCTGTATGTCTCAGCATAATCAGTGCAATTTGGGAAATAAATAAATTAAATCTGTATGTGGATGTGTGTAAATATTCAAATGTAATCCCCTTTGTAATCGTTAACATTTTCATAAGTAACTGTAATTTAATTACAAATTTTTTCTTAGTAACTGTAACTGATTACAGTTACATTTATTTTGTAATTAAATTACTTAACGCCGTTACATGTAACTAGTTACTCCCCAACACTTGTCAGAATCACATAAGATCAAACCATGGGAACAGGGCGTTCTGTTTTAAAACACATTTATAAAACAGATCTTTCAGGTCTTACAGGGTTACTTCATGTGACACTGAAGACTGGAGTAACAATGCTGAAATTCAGCTTTGCAACACAGGAATAAATTACATTTTATAATATTTTAAAATAGAAAACAGTTAAAGTTTAATAATATTTTACTGATGTTTTTACTGTAGTTTTGATCAAACAAATGCAGCCTTGTAGCAAAAGAGACTTCTTTCAAAAACATTTAAAAAGTCATACCGACTCCAGACTTTTGAACAGTAGTAGTATATTTTTATGCTTCACTCCCATAGGTATTTCCAGTGCCTACCAAAGTATGGACTATTCGCTCCTACTCACAAAGTCACCCGCATCGGATTCCCGTCCACCACTCCCGCTAAATCCAAAACCTCCAGGCGCAGGTCGACCCTAAAGAACAGCCCCAGCGCATCCTCCATCAGCTCCCTCAGCTCTGTCACCTCCTCAGTTGGAGGCAAACCCAGCCGTGCTGGCCTGGTACAGTCCCACATCTTTCATTCACAGAATACACTTTTCTCAAAAAATTATGTGAAGTAATACCCGTCAATAATCTCTCAGCTCACAGAGACATCGGCACGGTACGCGCGGAAGATCTCAGGCACCACAGCCCTGCAGGAGGCCCTGAAGGAGAAGCAGCAGCACATCGAGCAGCTCCTGGCCGAGCAGGACCTGGAGAGGATGGAAGTGGCACGAGCCACAAGTCATGCCGGGGAAGTGCAGCAAGAGCTGGCGCTGCTCAGACAGGGCCAGGAACAGGTCAGTTCTATAGCGTCATGTGAAAGTCGTCTTTGGGATGATAAACGAGAGACTGAGATTCAAATGAGTTGCATTTTTTTGAAGTACGCTTTGGAGATGGAAGCCAAGTTGGACCAGTTGCGGAGACTCGTGGAGACTGCAGACAGAGATAAAGTGGAACTGATGAATCAACTGGAAGAGGAAAAAAGGTAACCCCCTATAATTAAAAATACCTTGCATATTAATTGATTGCTGTAGAAGAACATGCAGTATTTTGAACGTGTGAGGAAACATTTTAGGGCTTGAAGTGTACGTTTTGTCCCACAGAAAAGTGGAGGATCTGCAGTTCCGTGTAGAGGAAGCTTGCATTACCAAAGGTGACCTAGAGGTAAAGTGATCCTATCATATACATTTACATAGAAAGAAACTAGATATTAGCCGACCGGCGCAATCACCTGTCTTTAACAGAAATGATCAGTATCTTTTATACTTATATTTTAGCAAGACAGCAAGGCATACATCTACTTTTCATCACAGGAGAAAATATATATGTAAAGATTACTTTTAAAGTGATAGATAGATGGATGGATGGATGGATGGATAGATAGATAGATTCATTAATTCAGTGATATAAAGGTATTTGTAAATGAAAGACCACTAGATAGATAGATTCTTTCATTTATTGATTTTGTCTCAACATCAAATCTTGTTATTATATGAAGATCAAGTTCTTCAAAAATCTATTTGGAGATGTTTTTTTCAAACAAGATCTATTCATCTTTCTTTAATAAGTAATAAATGGTGCATCACTTCTGTTTATAGCTCTTTGACTCTTTGATTTGACTCCTGACTCTTGATTCTTTGATGCTTCATTCACCTTATTCTCATTATTTGTTCATTCATTCACTTTTTTTATCCCTGCATTCTTCATTTTTCATCTTTTATCACATTCACACATTTCTTTCCTTCATTCAATCTTTTATTATTTACCTCTTTCATCTTTCTTTCATCGGCCCGCTCTTTGACCCACATTTGTTTCATGTCATTGTGTTCTTGTTTTTTTTTTTTATGCAATCTTCCATCTTCACGCCTCTCTCTGTGTGTGTCACTGCTGTCTTTGTCCTCATTCATAGAGGAGGATGATGTCAAGGTCTGCATGAAGCTCTTCGTACTTGGCTTTTGGCTGGCACGTGACCGCGCCGTTGGTGTTGTCTCTCTCTTTTCCTCTTCTGTCTACTAACAGACGCAGACCAAACTGGAGCATGCCCACATTAAGGAGCTCGAACAGAGTCTTCTCTTTGAAAAGACCAAAGCAGACAAACTCCAGAGGGAGTTAGAGGATACTAGGGTAAATCAATCTGTCAGATGGGAGGGTGAGAGAGATTTCTCTTGGGGTTAATGTCAGATCCCCATGCACGGAAGTGATTCTACTTATTTTGGGAAAGTGATTATTTTTTTATTCCATGATGGATTGAGGTAGGTCACTGGGTGCATCTCTACAAGTCATTTTTCATCCCAAAATCAAGTGAAGAAAATAAAAAATTGTTTTGCATAAAGAATATTTGTAGTTTTTTTTTTTAATGACATTTAAGCACATTTTCATCACAATTCTCCGTAGCCTTATGTAATGTGGGAAAAATATGAATTCAATTATAAAATGCATTTTATAAGTATATTTGTAAGTTTACGCTACTGTTCAAAATGTGGGGTTGGTAAGATTTTTAAAATGTTTTTAAGAAGTCTCTTATGCTCATCAAGGCTGCATTTATTTGATCAAAAATACAGTAAAAACAGTAATATTGTGAAATATTATTTCAATTTAAAATAACTGTTTTCTATTTGAATATATTTTAAAATGTAATTTAATCCTGTGACGTAAATCTGAATTTTCAGCATCGTTACTCCAGTCTTCAGTGTCACATGATCCTTCATAAATCATTCTAATATGCTGATTTGCTGCCCAGAAAACATTTCTTGTTATTATCAATATTAAAAACTATGGAAGCTTCTTTCCACCATTTGCTGCAGAATTTGCTATAGATTTATGCTCAAAATTAATACAAACTCTCAGAACAGTAAAAACAGTATTTTTTTTAAACAGTATTCCCACATGACCATAATGTCTGAAATTGATCTAATTTGATTAGATAATATTAGATGTTTCCTATGCAGAAAAGATCTAGTTTATGTTTAATGCCTTTAGTTTTACCACAATAAGTGGTTGATGAAGTCTCGTGTCCCGCTGTAGGTGGCCACGGTGTCCGAGCGCTCCAGGATCATGGAGCTGGAAAAGGAAGTGTCCGACCTGCATCTTCAGCTGAGAACTCTCCGGGCCGAGACCGCGGGATCAGCCTCACCTCCATTACAAGACAAAAAGGTCCGTTCAGCCCCCTCCTCTAATCCCCCTAAACAAGACGCATTATGACATGTGACACCAAAATAAATTTGCATCATAAGAACTGATCTTTGTGTTCTTCTAGATCAAGGAGTTGAACTTTGAGTTAGAGGATAGACAGAAGGAAGTTCTCCTATTCCAGCAGAACCTCGCCACCTCTGAACAGGATAGAACATGCCTCCAGCAGCAGCTGCAAGATCTGGTACTCAACACTAATGCTGCTTGTTTACTAAAGCCTGGTTTTTATTTCACATTATGATAATGGCATTTCTTTTTAAAGATTTCTATTACTTGTGCTGTACTTAAGCCTCCCTTCAGCCCATATGGTGATCTAATAACTGCTTTTTATATTATTGAATTATTTAAATGTGCCGGGGGATGCATACATTTCTCTAAAATTAAGTGTTATATCATTACAAAATCATGTCTTTTAAGCCAATAAGTCATGAGAAGTCATACATCACAGTGATTTTTACTATGGTTAAGAGGTTTGGTTAGGCTTTACGTGAAGCAGCAATAGCGATATGATAAAAGGCACCATGTACTTGAATTTAATAACATTATCAATTATGAAAATAAAGCACATTTATATAAAATGTCTATGTAAATAAATGGATGTAATAGATATAAAATAAACCCAAGCACGCTATTTTATTATTTTTTATTTGTTTTTGTTTTTTTTAGTTTAATACTTGAATTTAATAACATTATCACAATAAACAGTTCTTTTGCAAAGTCAAGCACATTTATATAAAATTTCTATATAAACAAATTGATGTAATATACACTGAAATTGGTCTAGAAACAATTTTCACTCAGAAATTGCTAGTATATTTCACAAATAATTACAAAGAAACACATTGAATTAAACTTGAAATTTTGAAGCAGAAAGACTGAAATAGTGTTTTCTTGTAAAATTTACTTCAATAATTTTTTTACAACTTTGAAAAATTATTTTTGACACTGTATATATGTGTGTTTGTGTTTATACTTATAAAATAAACGTCAGATATTTATTTTATTTTTAGTTTAATACTCAAGTATGAGAAACAGTAATAATGATCCTCGTCTGCATAATAACAAATACATATTTTAAAAATGCACATAAAACAAACCACGGGAAACCATTTTTTTCCTTTTAGTCAACCTGTTGTACCAATTCTTTGTCTGATTTCAGAAACAGAAACTCGACACGGCAGCAGAGGACAATAATAAAGCAACACTAGCCATGCAAGGTAAGCAAAACATGAAAAAAGCACTTAAATGCTCAATAACTACTGTTAAGCATCTGAACTGATATTTGCATCCATGGCATGTGAACCTGTGCCTCGTTTTTGCATGCTCATGAGATAAACCAGCCGATCCCAGCGGAGCCATAATACACGACGACACACTTTTACTTGCTCAGTAATCCAATTTGTGGGAAATTTTGTGGAAAATGATCATATTAGCACAAATACTGCTGCATGAGCTCCTCTATGAGTACTTCTGTGTGGCGCCAGAAATAGAAAGGAACATGAGAATGCAGAAAGAGAAGCTGGACCAGGTGTCCAGGGAGAAGGAAGAGCTGCAGAGGGATGTGGCCCTCCGGCAGCACCAGGAACAGGCGAAGGATGAAGAGAGAGATCTTCAGATAAAGGAGCTGAAGGAGAAGTTGGGCCGAACAGAAGGAGAGTTGAACAGAATCACAGAGAGGAGTGCTGAGCTGGAACGGCAGGTGGTGGAACTGAAAGCCTACAAAGACCAAACCCAGGTGACCAAATGACATTTGTAAAACATATGCCCAGTAGCTCCTGCTGTTTTATACACTGCCGGTCAAAAGTTTGGGGTGGGTAAAATTAAGATTTTAATGTTATTTGTAGCATATTAGAATGATTTCTGAGGGATCATGTGACACTGCAGACTGGAGTAATGGCACTGAAAATTCAATATTACCATCAAAGGAATAAATTTCATTTTTAAAATATATTTAAGTAGAACAAGTTATTTTAAATTGCAATAATATTTTACAATATACAGTTTTTACTCTATTTTTTGTTCAAATAAATGCAGCCTTGGTGAGCAGAAAAGACTTCTTTCAAAAACATTAGTAAAATCTTAATTACTCCAAACTTTTGACCAGTAGTGTTTACTATAGTTTCCCAAATACCATAGTTCAGTTATTTTACACTGCTTGAAGGAGATTGTATATTTATTTATTGTGGTGTTACAGTTAGTTTTTTTTCCTGTTTGTTTGAAAGAAATTAATACTTTTATTGCTCAAGGATGCATTAAATTGATCAAAAGAGACGGTAATGTCATTCATAATGTTACAAAACATTTCTATTTCAAATAAATGCTGCTCTTTTTAGCTTTCTATTCATCACAGAATCCTTGAATCCTTTCTTGAGCAGCAAATCAGCATATTAGAATGATTTCTGAAGGATCATGTGACACTGAAGACTGGAGTAATGATGCTGAAAATTCAGCTTTGATCACAGGAATAAATTATGTTTTAAAATATATTAAAAATAGAAAACATTTATCTTAAATAGTAATAATATTACACTATTTTTACTATATGCTTTATCAAATAAATGCAGCCTTGGTGAGCAGAAGAGATTAATTTCTTTCAAAACATTAAAAAAATCTTACCAACCCCAAACTTTTGAATGGAAGTGTATATTTGAACACATGAATAACTAGAGGTTTACTCACACTCAAACAGAGTTTACAGTCTGATGAAAAGCTGGAGCAGATGACGAAGAGGAATAAGGAATTATAAAAATGCTTCCTCCAGTGAAAAAGTCCATCCCCTGTTGTCTTCTCACATCAAAAACTTTTTCGCTGGAGAAAGTGTTATAGATAGAGGACTTGTATTTTCCTTGTACCTTTCTTACAAACACGCAGCTTTTCACTTCACAAGAAGATGACGAAGAGGAATAAGGAATTGCAGGAGGAGGTAAATATGCTTTACTCTTCATATCATAAAGACAAACAGTGACTCCTGGTTACTTTCAAGTCGTATCTGATGTCTGTAAGGGCCTTGGAAGGGTGTGAATAATTCAGTTATTTGAATTAGTGTCTACCAGTTCAAAAGTCACCTCCGTGTTGCTAGGATGTCATGAGTGGTTGCTAGGGTGCTCTAGGTGGTTGCTCACTGGATCTCCTTCACAGACCACATGATTTGAAGTATTCATGTTCATACAGTAGCACTGGTGTATGTTGAAGTTTAATACTTGGTGTTAGTTTGTTCAAATCACTAACAGTGATCATTATGCTCACCTTAGCAGACAGCAGTAATAATCATTAAAAATGCTAGATGAAAGCTCATTTAGGAAGACAATAGCTGCTCTTAAAATCACAACATTAAAGGAGTAGTTCACCCAAAATTGAAAAATGGCTGTAAATGTACTCACCATCAGGACATCCAAGATATAGATGAGTTTATTTCTTCATCAGAACAGATTTTCAGGATTACATCATTTGCTCACCAATGGATCCTCTGCAGTGAATGGGTGCCGTCAGAATGAGAGTCCAAACAGCTGATAAAAACATCACAATAATCCACAAGTAATCCACACCACTCCAGTCCATCAGTTAACATCTTGTGAAGTGAAAAGTTGCATGTTTGTAAGCAACAAATCCATCAAGGCGTTGTAACTTTAAGCAGTCACTTCTGGCCAAAATACGAGCCCATAATCCATAAAAATGAATTTCTCCAAATATGTTCTGATGAACAAACAAACTCATCTAAATCTTGGATGGCGGTAAAATTTCATTTTTGAGTGAACTATTCCTTTAATTACTGCTGTCAACGTGATGTTGAACCCAAAATATTTTGTTTACATGTGAAACAGCCAGGAGTATTATTATAACACTTAGCATTTGTAGCTGAATAAACACGTTTACTTAAGAAACAGATCACTTAATGAAGCAGAGATTAATGATCACTTAAGAAGCAGAGATTTTTCGCTGTGTAACAGTACTGTTACTGACATTAATGGTTCAGACACACTGTTAATTCATGCATGAGTCCTCTACATCTGACCGCCTGCAGGTTGCATGTAAAGCATGTTCTGTGCGCTTATACGTGGCCTTACATAATCACCCCGATGGCCTGCACTTATCAGAGAAGACTTGCCTCTTGGGGTTGTGCTTTTTGCAGACGGTAAGACTGTGTGAAAGAGTAACAGGTCTTCTTATGTCACTGGTACTCAAGTGAAAGGTCTTGCTTGATTCAGCATCTGTATAGAGACTCTCCTGCAGTGGTTCAGATGGTGTTGTTGGTTCAGTCTGGTTATATTGGTTGTTCGCTTGTGATGTGCTGATGCAAAAAATGAATTCTCATTTTCACCCGTCCAATAAGGAACCTTTATTTTTAAGAGTGTTGTTCTAAACCTATATAATTGACTTTGTTTCATGAAGCACAAATTGAGTTTTGGTGAATGCTCGAGCTTCTTTTTGCACTATATTCCAACTCTTTTGGTTCCCTTTCAGTCAGTCACTCCGAGTCACGTCGGTGACCGACGAATTGGGATCTCGCTTAGAGAGACCAATCCACTTTGAGTGTAAACTAAACGAGCCAATGCACATTGGCATGTGATGATTGCATCCAGCTGCCGCTGATCA